ACATATGTGCTTGACACAATGGATGTATGTATGGATTGTGATAAGAATTGTATGAGCCCCCAATAAAATACTTTTTTTAAAAGTATTTTTGTAATTTAACCAACATTTTTAATTATTACATGATTCTATATGTACATATTATTCTATATATGTTGAAATGAAAGAAAATTGCAAAAATACAGAACTCAATTTCTGAAGTTACTATGGGTTTGAACAATTTTCATGGACCTTTTCAAAACTTTTTACCAGTTAGGCAATTTTTCCTAGAGTAAGTAAAGTTCTTTGAAAGTAGGTTGGGGGCAATGAGATGAAGTGTTCTGAAGCAGTTTTCAAAGAATTTTGGGAATAATGTATTTCTTTTAGATAGCTGGATATTTCCTATGGCTGTTTGGGAAATATTTTCTTATACAGAGCATATACCTTGGACCCAGATTTTAGCTTTAGTTATGTTACTTTTGTGAGTTGACCTCCCCCCCCCCCAATTTGGACATTAAGTATAGGGTAATACAAATCTACTGTTAATAATGTTATCTTTTTAAAAATATTTCAGAGAAAGTATGCGAGACTTAACAGCTCAAGTGACTAGTGGACTCCTACTATTCCCAGAAGTAACTATTCAAGCCCTTGGAGAAGATGAAATAACACTAGAATCTGTGCTTCGTGGAAAATTTGCTGCAGGTAAAACAATGTTGCTGATGATTTACAAACTTTTAAAGTAAATAAGGTAAATGGGTAATAAGCTTAGGAAGAGGTACGGGAAAGCAAAAAACAAAAAAAACAACAACCAGGAACATAATGGGTGAACATGAGCAGCTTGCTCTGAGTTAGTGCACCCAGTGGCACTGCGTGGGAAGGTGCTCTCTGGTCACAGTGAAGTTTTTCATGAAAGCTTGAACCTTGTTTTTTGTGATGGCCCATTTAAGAGAACAGCAAGCAGCTGTGAAATTTTGTTTCCTGCTTTTGGAGCAGGGGTGGGGGGTGTTGTAGAAACGGTTGTGATGTTGAACACAATTTACAAGGACAGCACTATGGGAAAAACTCAAGTGTACAAGTGGTTTTCTCATTTCAAAATAGGTGAAATGTCGATTGATGACAAACCTTGTTTTGGACACGTCCTTCAACTTCCCTTTAGACAAAAATGTCAACTCGATGTGCATTTTAATCAAGCTTTCTATTTAGAGGTTCTGATAAGATTGCATAACCGTGTGTGACCCAAAAAGGCCTGATTTGTGGCAGAGGGGGACTGATTTTGCCACCACAACAATGCACCTGCTCATGCAGCCTTCTCAGTGTGTGAATTTTTGTCAAAAAAAAGTCATGCCTCTCTTGCCCCACACATCTAACTCCCCTGAACTTGCTCTGAGCAACTTATTTTTATTTCTTCAAATGAAGAGTGACATAAAAGGACAGGGATTTGAAAATGTAGAGGTGAAGAAAAAAGCCAAGGGAAGTACTGTCAGCAATCCAAACAGATGAGTTCGAAAAATGTTTCCAAGAATGGACTTGAAGATTTGACAAATGTATTAAGTGTAATGGAGAGTACTTTGAAGGTGATAAGATTGTTTTGTAAAAATTAAATACAGCTTTTGAGGGGGGAAATATTCCGGTTTTGGGGGGGTACATTTGTGTACTGAAGTTTTTTAATGTGGAAGAAGAACATGACTTGAGTTGAATGGACTTAGAAAAATGTATATGTATATTTTTAGGGAATCTGATTGGGAATGGATAGTAGGCTAGTTCATTTTTCCTTATTAAAAATCCTGATGTATTTAAGTAGTGCCTATATTTGAGAGGTAGAAATAGTACACACCCTTTTTTCGAATCAGTAAATTACTGGGATTAGAAAAGAAAAATCTGATTTTAAAAGGCCTTATATTAGATAAGATAGCTTACATTTCATATAAGTGAGTGATATGCAGAAGACTTCCAGCAAGAAGTCAGCAAAGTGATGCGACATCAGTCATTTACCCATTTTCAGTCCTATTCACATGGATATTGCATTAAGAGTGTAAATTCTGAGCACTAAGTTTGCAGGAGTCTATAAGGATGAAAATAAAAGCCCAAAATCTATTTGCAGATTTCCTGTGGATTAATCCTCCATTGAATTCCTTGTGACCTTTAACCGGGAAAGTGAACAATTTTGCCCTCGGGCAGAGTTCATTCGTTAGAAAATTGATTACCTTCACCCTGTTTGCTCAGCAGCCCTGGGAGCAGCATTCTGTAGAAACTGCCACTCTGCGGACCCATGGTCTGGAGTCAGGTTCTGACTGCCATTGTTGGTAGTCTCTGGACCCATCTTCTAAGCTCTTCTGACATAGTATATACATGTCACCATCATCGTCCTGTTCCCTCTTCTAGTCTCTCCTAAATCTGTAGTGTATTGATATACTGCTAATCATGCCTTCATGACAGTTTCCTTTGCCCTCCTACACCCTTCTAAAGTTTCCAAATCTCTGCAAACCTTGAACACCACTTACTTAGTCAGTATCACACATACAGCAAGTGGCAAAAATCCCGTTTTAACTCCAGCAGTGTGGATTTCCATTGTGCCGTTTTCTTATACTATATAGCCTTCTCTTAGCCGTAATTTAGTATATTTAACTGTGTACTTGATGTTTCACTTGGATGTATCATGAATTTCAAATTTAATAATAAAAGGTACTTTAGCAAAAATTTAGGATTCATTCTTAGTTTTTCTCTGTTTTACTTACCTTTTTGAATTTATTATCCAGTTCCTTTATTTCTACCTCTAAAATGAATCTGCAGTCAGTCCACTTTATCTATAGTCAAATATCTTCTCCCTACTTTCACTCTATGCAGCCCTTCCCCACTCCATCCCTGGCATTATGCATTGTCTGCATAGCAGCTGGTGTTGCATTTGAAAAATAAACCAGGCTATCAAGTCCCTACTTAAAACCCTACCTTGATTTTAAGTTGCGTGCAGAAGGACTTCTAGTAGTACTTCATTTTGCTGTTTTGTCTAGTTTTGTCTTCTCAGTTGAGAATCATGTGTTGTATCTTTAACTCCTTGTTTAAATCCTTTTCAGATGTAGTAGTCGAAGTATGAGTTTTGGAGGCATACTTGGGATCTACTTTGGTTCTCCTGTTTTATAGCTGTGTGACTTTGGGCAAGTTGTTTTTACCATGTCAAACTTTATTTGTTTTATCTCTACATTAATTTGCCATGAGGAATAAATGTCAGTGTATTTAGGCATACAGCATGTACTGAATGGTTATTTTTGTTATTGCAGTATTGGTTGCCCTTTTTTATTATTCAAATTCATTTGAGGACTTGTATAAATAATAAGATCTCACTTTTGGGATAGGTGACATTTTGTTTATATGTGAAAGAGCTAACTGCTACTTAGTTTTGTGTATACAAACAGTATTTTTTGAATCTGTATCTTTTTTTTCTTTCTAGGAAAAAGTGGACTTGCTTGTTTGGCCTGTGGTCCACAACTTGAGGTAGTAAACTCTGTAACAGGAGAGCGGCTGTCTGCATATAGATTTAATGGAATAAGTGACCAACCTCCTATAATCCTAGCTGTGAAAGAATTCTCTTGGCAGAAGAGAGCTGGATTGCTAATTGGATTAGAAGAAGCAGAAGGGAGTGTTCTCTGTCTTTATGACCTTGGTACATCAAGAGTGGTTAAAGCAGTTGTTCTTCCTGGAAGGGTAGGTATTACTTAAGATAGTGTTGCATTTCTGTTATTAAATCTGAAGACTTATTGACTCCGTGGGTGCTATTTACTGTAAAAATTCATAACTGATATTTTTTGGTAATTCTTCAGTAAAAAGTTTTCAGTATGTTATAAGGAAGTTGTATGTTATAAGGAAGTTAATATCTGAAATGCAGTTTTCTTATGCTTGGTTAGAAAATTCCAGAGTGAAAATAGTGATGACATGTGGTGTAATACTCTCCTATATGAGAAGTACCATCTTGAGTCTTTCTTATCTCTAGCTGTATCTTATGAGAACACTGGAAGTTTATAAAAATGTAATATGTTTATTATGCTGGGTTTTTTTTAAGAGTGCCCTTTTCTCTTAATTCTTTAGTATTAGAGAAATCTGGAAAATAATAGATTTATCAGTATTTATCACTTATTAATTCTAATATATGTGTGTGCCTTCTATTTGCCAGACCCTCAATTAATAGTATTTATAGAAGTACTTTTCTGGGTTGTTTCTTCATGTTTATTGCTACTACCTGTGCATGGCAGAAGAAAGCATTGACTTACAAATAGATAGACACATTTACTTATCTGTATGGGAAAATGTATTTCTTCACATGTATAGAGTTTTATTCTATGATTATGTTTGTATGTGTGTGTTTAATACTTAAAAAGAATAGAATTTTTGAAGTTTATAAGAGATCTTAATGACAAAATAACATGTTTTTACAGATAAGGAAACTGAGGATCAGTGAGATACTGTGGGAATCTGAAACAGTTTGTAGTCTGTCTTAAATGAAGGGACTTAAAAAGATTGTGGAAAATGTAATTAAAAGATAACTATTTTCCATAGATGTCCCCCTTGCATGGGGGAATGGAAAAAAGAAATTTGAGAAGCAAAATTAATTCACAATTTACTGAGGATTATAAATCAAGGTATATGCTAGTTGCTGGGGCTATGGAAATGAGCTTGGTCCTCCATGTTTTCACAGAGCTTGCAATTTAGTGGGAAAAACAAATTACACCATAGATAAATAC